TTCGATCCTTCAATTCTAATTTTGGTTCCTCAAAATGAAAGAACTAGATTTTTGGTTCAGTTTTAATTTCTCTTAAGAACCGTATAGGAATCGGACTTGTACAGTTCTACTTTGATAAATTCTCTTTGTGATCCTTGAACTTTGATGAGATTCAATTATGATCCTGTATTTTCACATTTATTTTGATGAGGTGTATAATTATTATTAAAATGTAAAAATGTAATATCACGATAAATCCTCCATAAAAGTTAGAGATCCACATAAATAATAGCTGAAAGTATATGTTGAAATTTATGCATCAGGCAGATGATTACTTGATGATAGTAAACGCCTTGTCGACGAGCATACATGGCGTTAATGACGTTGACATAAAAATTATAAAAGCAGGCTTTCGTAGACCTTGATATTGGGTGGTTTCACTATGAACTATAACTGGACCCTGTAGAAATATTGGGCCTGCGTCTTATAATGAAGATTAGATTGAATGAATAATAGGCTAGTACGGATTTTGGAGATCTTATGCTTGTCAAGTCCTAGAGTCGATCTAGCCTATGAAATTGGATCATGACATTAGGGGTGGACACGGTTTCGAAACTGTAGGTTTTGGTTCTAAAAAATTTGAAATTGGAAACTGACGGTTCTCGCTACTGTTTGGAACTGAACGGTTACGATTTCTTAACAGCTCTTAAACTGACGGTTTCGGCTGGTTTTTCAATTGGTTTTCCGGCGAATCGTATAATTATTAAAAAAAAAATTAGGAAACATTTTTTTGTTGAAATTTTAGATATTTATTGACATAATTTTTAGAAAAACTTTAAGAAAAAGTAAAAAAGGCTTAAACTTAATTTATTTATTTAAAAAAAAGGTTTGAATTTAATTATTTTTTTTAGAAAAATTTTTGAATTTAATTTTTTTTAAATGAAAAGGGGTATTTATAGTAAATCTAAAAAATCAACTTTCCATCAATACCCTTAAAACTAGCCGTTATATAGTTGTTAGGAGGGTTAATTTAGAGATTTCACAAAAATATTTGAAAAAATAAAAAAAAATTTTGAAACCGGATGGAACCCTCGAAACCGCCGGTTTTAATCGATTGGAAAAATCGCCAGTTCTAGCTGATTCACGGTTTCTCAAAAGTTAGAACCAAAATCGAACCATAGGCCCTCGGTTCCAATTCTGATGTGGGTTGATTCCAGTTCCTCACGGTTCCAGTTCCAAACCCACAATTTCAGTTCCAAAAACCATGAAATGACCACCCCTACATGACACCATATTGCAATTGCACTGAATTGGAGGATTTTATATTATGGGTCTAAGCATTTATTTGTTTTGGCTGAATTTTGATTACTAAATTTAAATCCATTATCTTATTAAGCCAAATGATTAAGAAATAATATCAAGAGTTGCCTGCTGAATAGTTAAGTGACATTCCGTTTCATCTTATAATTGTAAAAGTAATTTTATCTTTTCATCTAATAAATTACGTTTGAAGCAGTTAAAAAAATATTTTTTCATTCAGATAAAATTTAACTTGCAAATCCAAATAAACAACTTACTAATTCAGATCATATAAATAAGTTTATTTCTTATCATTGACTGTTGTTGGATTTTTTAGAAAATGTGGTCAGCACTAGAAATACATTTCATGGTTACACGTTGCTATTGATTTTATGGAGCTAACAAACATGCATTTGACCAAAATAAAGAATTCAAAGGTTGAAATCTGTGTCTCCTTAAGATTTTAAGAATATTTTAAGATAGCTGTTATTGTTGAAATATGTTTAGTTCAAGCGTTACTATGTATATTTTACATTACTTTCTTTCGGTGTCTATTCAATTTTTTAATTATGATTAACTCTTGAATTGGATTAGACGGATCCTAATAATAAAATTTTTGTACCGGCGGTTTAACATTAAAAAAAAAAAAAAAAGTATCTGTCCAATTAAAATTTTCCAACCTCTCCACCTTCTAATTCCTAATTAATTATATATCTTTTTGTTAGATATGGAAGTAAAAGAGGTGGGCAGTTGCATTGTCACTTTCATTCTAACATACAAAAGAAAGGAAGGATATTCTATTCCAATACTGTTTAGTAAGTATTTGACTCAATTGGTCTTTCTTCTTATCAAATTGTTTCCTTCAATTAAGCCGACATTGTTGCTTATATCATGCTCCAATTGTCTTATTGGACGCATATTGTGCACCACTTCTTTCTTTCTTTCTTTTCTTTTTCTTTTTCCAAATCTCCAATCCTTATCACCAACGTGAAGAAGAAGAACGAGAAGTTTTTTTAAGTGTTCATTCCAAAGATCGCATTCTCGCATTTTCTATTATTTTTTATAATATAAATCATTTTTAAGTGATTATTTTATTCTAAAATATAAGTCGTTTTGAATAGTTTAAGGAATAATAAATGATGTTTTTCTAACGTTACCATTATTTACATTAAATACAGAATTACTTTCACATGTAATTACTCCTTCTGTCCTAAAATATGAGTCTAAATTTAATTTGTTAGCTGATCACATCCTCTAAATTTTAGAATTCAGATATAGAAGGCTGTGTTTTTTTTTGGCTGAATATTAATGAACTTCTTAATTAATAGTAATAATTTATCACATGTGAGGTCTACAATGGTCATTTTAATGGCTATATCAAATTATCAATTGAATTTATACCACAATCATATCTAAGTCACAATTACTATAAAAGATGATGACGTACGAGATAATAATTAATATGGAAAATATTTTTAGCACAACTTGTACCAGATCCAATATAATATAAGTAAAGAGACTACAACTATCTATTTACGTGAATTGTACTTGACACATATGCGCCGATTAACAAAATTATGATAGGTAAAATTAAAAAAATAATAATAATAATGATCAAAATCATAAAAACTATTGAAGTTGAATATTTTTCAATCTTTTGGCATTCCAAGAACAATAAACCAGTAACCTTAAATTACATTGAAATCAATCAAATTGACTTGTTTGATATGGAGACCAAGATACACAAAAATAGTGGAGATGTTTGAGGAGTTTGCAATGGTAGTAACTCATAATTTTGAAATGAAAAGAAAATCAACCATCAAAATCAAAATATGTTTCCCTTAAAAATCTACCACAATTAAGAGACAATTAAAAATTCTAAATATAGTTATTAAAGCTACAAATTAATAATTTTAATTAAAAGCCACAAAAATGACATAAAAAAAAATGCAAATATTGCATATTTTGCATACCATGAAATTGTGTGAAAAGGGTTATAATTATAAATCTTTTCCAATTTCATAGGGAGAGAAAAATTCAAATCCTTCAAAACAATGGCCAAAGAACCTGGGAAAGTGAAATCATGGAATGAAGAACAGGAATCCTCCAAGTCTACAAATCTGGATCATAGCAAAGGAAAGTTGAAGCATTTCCCTTTATAGGATTTCATGTTTAAAGGTACATATTAAAATGTATTCAATTCAGTTTCATCGCTTTAGTCTTTTTATAATTTACAAACTAATCAAAATTTAAACGAATGAAACTATTAGAATTCGAAACTAAACTGAATCAAAATTTATTCGAAAGTAGAATTCATCGTTGCCTAAATCTCTCGAGGAAACAATTAATCATTTTTAAATCCATCTTTTACCTATCAATTACACATATTTTATCGGGTTTCTTTCACTTCATATATCATTTTCTTTTCATTTATCGGCTAGATTCAAAGCGTTTTTTTAATTCTTTTTTCCTTTTTTTTTACTCTACTCTAATTTTTTACTTTGTATATAAATTGAAAAAAAAATTTAAAAATAGAGAAGTAGGTAAATATATACACATTATGTTATGTTAATCACCACTATTATATTTTTAAATTTCTTTTTCAAAGAAAATATGCTATGTTGGTCATTTTCTCTCCCTATTTCATCCCAATAAATGTATTCGCAAATGCAATAACAATTTTTCATGGTCTATCCAAATTACAAATTTTTAAATATCCATTAGAAGTCACCCATAACTAAATTAACTGCCTGTGAAGTGGGTGAGAATCTTTGCGTATAAATTTGGGAAAGAATTTTAAATAATAACTTCAATTTGTGGAAATTCAATATTGATTTTGTCACTATTTACTGGGGGAACAATGATTTTATTACCAGGTAAATATAAACAAAATAAAGAAATAGATAGGATACAAATAGGGATGAAAGCAAGTGGGTACCCGAGCCCTACCCTTTTATGTTATGGGTAATAATTTCATTAAACCGTATCTATATCAAATATATTAATAACTATATGTATCCTTATTAAATAGATAGAACGAAATGAATATTTTAAAATATACGTCATGCTTCCATCCTTAAGTATAATTTACGGGTTTTTAACTGTCAAGTTGAGTTTTTATAGGAAAAAAAAAGTTAAAAAAAATTTAGCTCAATTTGAATCTATGAATTTTAAAATCAAATATTAATAAAAAAATCAAACCGAATTAATTCAGTCTATTTAATTCTATATATAATTTTAATTTAATTTTTTTTAAGTTCGAGTTATTCAATTAAAAATCACTGGATTAAAACCGAATTGATTTAATGTTTGAAAAAATCCAATTAAATATATATTTATTTATTTATTCATCATATAATTCAATCATTGATGTGATTTTATTCTTTACTATTCCATCCGTTAAATTTTGCGGTTTTAATTTTTTTCATTTAAATAAAACTTTTAGAAAATCAAAGTAGATTAATTATTTATTCTAATTAATTAAAAAAATAATTTAGTCAATCACTTTTTTCTTTAAATTTAGATAATTCAATTATTTTCTTAACAATGAGAAAAGCTTTAAACGCAGAATTTAACTCAAACGAGGGAACATTATTTTGTTTTAATATTTTTTTAGGGAAAAAAAAAATTACCTATATTCTTTTACTCTATCAAATTAAGTCCTTCATTGAAGAAAAAATGATAGAGAGAGAGAGAGAGTATTACTATTAAGGCAGCTTATCATTTTCCAGACGAAACGAAAGTGTCGGTGGTGCAAAAAGAAAGACTCATACTGTGGACAGTGATATTTGGAAACCTACCCATTATCTGCTTTGTCAGTCTCTCCCCCCTATGTCCTCTGCTGTTTAACTTTCCATTTAAGCTACTTGTCTTCTTCTATCTAAACACAATGCTTTAAAAATCTTTAACCAGAAACAACATTTGATAATTGATTTCTTGCTTCCAAACCCTCCTTTTCTCCTCATTCTTTAAACAAGATTTGCTCATTCCTTATAGAGGAAAACAGCTTTCTCTGCAAATGGGGGTTGATTTGAGGCAAGTTGTTGCTGGTATACTCACTCTCACAATGTTTGTGATGCTTGGAAACATGATCAAGAGAGACCATTTTGATTCTGTTGAAGTAAGTTTTGATTCTTTCTCTGTTTACTCTGTTTCTGAATTGAATTTGTTCTTTTTTAGTTTACATTCCTTGGATCTTTAAATCCTTTTGATTTCTACTGTTTGTTCTAATCCTTTTGAATCTATACTTTGGGAATGTAAGATCTATAAGTCCTTGTCCAACTATAAAGCCTTTTGCTACTCATACTTCAATTTCTCTTTGCCTTTTGCTACTCATACTTCAATTTCTCTTTCTTTCTTAAAATCCCATTTCTCTCTATTTCATTTCATTTCATTTCTTTTTGTTTCTTTTAATTAACTATGCAAGATATTTTAAGGTCTAGTCACTGTTTTATAAAATTTCCATCCAATCAAATCAGTAATGATTGTAAATTAGTACAATATTTTGTTTTTGTTTTAATTACTGCTATATATATATATATATATTTTTTTTTTTTATTATCATATGACTTGTTAGACATTTCACTTTATTTTTTTTTCTTCCATTTCTATTTTCTAATAAATTGGGATTAACAGTCTAGTTCATCTAAAGATTCGGCAATAACAGGTGCTGACTGGCAAAGAAGCCACAGAATAGATGAACAAAAGTGATTTAATGATAAACAAAGAAAATGTGAAATCGTCTTTTTTTTTTTTTCTTCCTTTTCTATTTTTATAAATTGGGATTAACGTCTAGTTCTAAGATTTCGGCAATACAGGTGCTCTGGCAAAGAGAAAGTAGATGAACAAAAGTAATTAAACAAAGAAATTGAAATGCATTTATAGCTCATGGATTTTAATAGAATTCTCTTGTTTACTTGTATGAAATTTATCGTTTTATTGTTGTTTGTATTGTAAAGGAAAAATTTCCGGGAGGAGCTACAGATGCTGAATTTGATAGTGGGAAGGTTACAGAGCATGGCCTTGTCGCATTTTCAAAGACGAGTAATGGACCTTGGATGGAGAATGCTCAAGAGCTAAAACCCTGTTGGACAGAATCAAAATTCGGTCGGTAAACTGGGTGCTTGATAAATTGTTACATAATTTCATTTACTATATTGGAAATTTTCAAATGAGAGAGGCCTATTTGATTTGATTTGAACTCTAAGAACTCTGACCTCATTTAGTGTGAGGTATGAGCTTGGCTCTCGACATCTAGGCTACTAGTCTAATAGTAGTATATAGATTGCACGCACACACACAGATACACACATATGTGTTCATTTGTATAATGTTTCTCTTTCACTTCTTATGGATTGGTATTTACTTTGCTAACAGATCAGGCAGAGCGGTCAAAAGGGTTCATCACTTTCTCATTAACTAATGGACCAGAATATCACATCTCACAGGTATCATAAATTTAGTTGGTTGTGCATGTGCTAGTTAATTGCTATTTCTGTACATGAACAGCTAAAATTTTTTATTGGTTACTCATTTTTTAATGTTAACTTGATTTTTTCTGTTTATACATGTTCTGTCCATCACAGCCTTGAGATTCTTATGAATTAGTCAAATTTCTGTGGATATTCTTTTCCATATGCTGTCAAATTATTTCTTATTGCTGATATTTAGTTCTCTTCATTTAATTCCTTATTCATTCTCCAGATTGCTGATGCAGTGGTGGTAGCAAGATATGTAGGAGCAACTCTTGTACTACCTGACATTAGAGGAACCAAGCCAGGTGATGAAAGGTTAGTGTTCATCTGACTGCATCATGGCAGCGAGGAAATATTTTGTTTATTTGATCTATTTGTGCTGGTCAACACTATGTTTACTATTATTATATTTGTTCATGATGAGCTTTTGCTGGTAAATTCCTGGAAAAATCAGGACTTTCTAACAAATTGAATCACTTTCAGAACCCATATATGTGTACTATTTTTTGCTGTCTGTTTCTATTCAGATCTTGTTGTTGTTATTTCTTTCGTTTCTTTTTTGAAAGTTTTGAGCAGTAATCTTGACCCATACGCTTTTTCCTCTCTCTGCTAGCACAAGTTTTGGATTGGTCACTTCAGAATTTATTTATTTATTTATTTTTTTGAGTTGCTTCTTGACACTTTGATGCCAAAGATCTTCCATTTTTTATTTTATTTTATTTTATTTTGTTTTTAAGCTTGCCTTGCAGCTTATAATTCTTCCTTCCGGCGCATATTCATTTTTGTTTTATGCTTAAGTCTACGAGGCTCCATGGTTTAGTAACCTGAACTAGAGATAACACAACCTAAAAGTGTGTTTGGAGCAAAATAAATATTAAAATCATTTGACTTACAAATGAATTCCCTAAAATAATTCATTTGAAATGACTTTTCATGTTTGGTATTATGTACTAAATGTAAACTTCGTTTTAAAATCCTAGTTTTACTGGTATGTGCAGCCTTACTAGTTATGAAAATCATCTTTAAATTTATCAAATTTGAGAAATACAAATGTACAGAATATACAAATAAATAAACTAAAAGAAACTATCAAAATCTAAAACTTTTAATCATTTGAAAAATTTAGTAGATTTTGGTACCATTTTGCTCAAGCAATCAATATTCTATATAATTGTGTGGAATTCAAATGGATTCTTATATATTCTAAACATATAAAAATAATATTTCTAAATCAATTGCATAAAATATACAGGCGCAAAGACTATTATTTCAGCACAATTTCAACTATGATGGTTGAAGTATTAAATTGGTTCTCATAAAAACTTATTTTGCTGAATACTAACTAATTTCAGAATTCCAGGAAGTTTGAAGAAATATATGATGTGGATAAATTTGTGACAAGCCTGGATGGAGTAGTTAAAGTGGCAAAGGATCTACCTGATGATGTATCAATTCGAGATTTTGCTGTTGTCAAGATCCCTAATCGTGTTTCAGAAGATCACATTGCAGAATCAATTGACCCTATCTTTAGAACAAAGGGAAACATAAGATTGGCTACTTACTTTCCCTCAGTAAACATGAGAAAGACCACACAAAAGAGTAACAGTGATTCAGTTGCATGTTTGGCAATGTTTGGAACTCTGGAGTTGCAGCCAGAAGTTAATGAAGTGGTTGACTCTATGATTGAGCGGTTGAGAACTTTGAGCCGCAAGTCCGATGGACGGTTTATTGCCGTGGACTTGAGAGTTGATATATTGGAAAAAAAGAGTTGCCACGGTAGTGATGCTGGTGCAGCCAAAAATTGTTATAGTGCTCAGGAAATTGCCTTGTTTTTAAGAAAGATTGGATTTGATAAGGACACCACAATCTACTTAACTCAGTCCAGATGGGATGAAAGCCTTGATGTTCTTAAGGACATATTTCCAAAAACTTATACAAAGGTGAGACATTTTTGTTTCCATTGCAGTTAATTTTACTGTTCAATTGGCATTTAGTAAAGGGATTTCAGATTCTTAGGAACATATAACATTTTGGGGAACACATTGCTTTGGGATATTTTGTTTGGGAATGTAAAATTCCTACATTTGTTATATCCTAGATTTGATAATTACAATAACAACAACAGCAACAACATTTGAAATAACAATGCAAATTAAATTATATAATATAGTTATCAAAATATAGAAAGGACACGAATTGTGAGAGATATTTATTAATTTTTATGGCATTTATATTCTTTATATTTATTCTAGAATTCATTCTTAATATTTTTATTCTTTAGCTTTTATTTAACTTTTAACTTTATTTGCCACATTTTGAAGTCTCATTTATTAAAAATATTTCAGAACAAATATACTTATTAAAACATCATTTCTTCAAGGTTAATTAGTAGATTTTCCCCCCATAATAATGGCTGATAAGGATGCTCGTCCAGTCGTCCTTCTGGGGTTATCCAAGCGTTGCACAATGTTTCTGTGTCATCCTTATTTGGGTCAGTTTTTCAAGGACATTAGACAAATGACCATTTCTTTTGCTTCAGTCTCTCTTTAGTCATGTGAATAGGCAAACCAACAAAGTTGGTCGCTCCATGGCTCAGTTGGCATGCTCTTTATTGGAGAACCATTTTTGGATTTAGGAGGTGCCTAGCCTAGTAGTATTATTCTTGTCTCATCCAATTGATAACATTCTTATGCTCTGAGCAAAAATCTTGTACATTCCTTTCTCAGAAAAAGAAAAATATGCATGAGGATAACCAGTCTTTTGATTGTTATTCCTTCTCTGTCGATAGATGCTACATACATAACCATTAAAGATTTGGTTAACACTGTATTTCGAAAATGTAATCCGACTTGTTATACCAAGTAAAGAAATCACATTACCCTTCTACCTTATTTGAGGAATATCATTCAATTCCGGGTCAAATGCTATATCTTTATACTTTTTGTTTGCATAAATTTAAAATTGGCAAAATGTGGCCTTTGATTTCTGTTTGTTTAATTGGAAGAAGTCAAAATGCATGGCATTGTTGCATTTCATTCCACTCTAGAGTTCTTCGATTTCAATAGCAAGAGAAATGACTATTATCATGAACTTATATCTCTGGAAACTATTGCAGGAAAGCATCATGCCTGAAGATAAAAAGACCAAGTTCCTGGAATCCGAAGATTCGGAGTTTGAAAAAGTTATAGACTTCTACTTATGTTCTCAGAGTGATGTGTTCGTACCAGCCATATCTGGCCTATTCTATGCCAATGTAGCTGGTAAGAGAATAGCTTCTGGTAAGACACAAATTCTTGTTCCAGCCAACATTCCGGGAACCTCTGCGTCGGTCACCAATCATTTCTCCCCATATATCTCAAAGAAGAACCACTTGGCCTATTCATGTTTTTGCTAATAATGTGTGTGCAAAAAGGAAAAAGAATCGAAAATGGAAAAAACAGCAGAAACTGCTGGTTTGAATTCAAGCTTTAGCAGCAAATCAGATAGAAAGGTCAGTTGCTTAATACAATCTTCTACTGGGGATTAAAATTACCTCAAAAACACTGAGTATCCATTTAATTTTTTAAGACATTTCTACGGTACAGATTGCTTTCTGGTCAGCTCTATATATATAAACATTATTAATAGAATGTGTTCAATGTTTTGTAAAACCAAAGTAAATTTGTTTATTGGAAAATTAGTTGTATTTTGTAATGTGGCTTTATTTTAATGGATTATTTGTTGACATTTGAATTCTTCTACATATTAATATTCTTTGCTCAAATCCCATGTTTCTCTTGGTCTTATATGTATAGCAATTTTTATGCACGTGAGTTGCACATGGATAATCTTGAGAGCTTGTATTATGATGATATATGAAATTTTTAATTTTCAATTTTCATTTTTTTCTGCCACTCACAAAAGTTACTGTAAGCCTAGAAATGAAATGAGTTCACTTGTAAACATTGATTGTCTCAAAAAGATATTTCGGACGAAAAAGAAATTAAAGACAAGGAAAAGAACACTTACATGGAGAGGCAGTCATAAATTTCGACATGAGAATTAGACTTAATCCATGGGCTGAAGACACGTGTAGTATAAATAAAAAAAAAAAGGTATAAAAATACTTGTGGTAATACTTAAAAGGGGAAGGGGGGAGAACAAAAAAGGGGCTAACAGAAAATAAAAAAAAATGGAGCTGTTTAGATAAGATTGAAAATCCGTAAGTTGGAAAATAGCAAAGGATAGCAAATGTTATTTGGAATATTTAACTTGACCTATTAAATATTTAACTTGTAAAATTATTAAACGGGTGAAATGTATAATATTATTATTCTACAACTTGTACCGACTAACCACGTATTAAATTAATATTTCATGCATGCATAGATACTTAGAATGTGCAAAGTTGCTAAAATTTTTTCCCTATTTTATAACATAGCAAAATGGCATAATAATTGCTCCATCAAGTTCGGGGAGAAAAAGTATGCAACTAACAATTTCTGAATCATCTTTAACCAAAAATTACCTTCTCTTTTGAAAAATCCGTTGTTAGACGTGGCACTTTAAAACATTTTCCACATTTCGAATTTTTAGCATTCAAGGGAGCTCTCTCTCCAGTTTGTTACTACTTGCACGCGAACACTTGTTCCATTTCTCAACCAACGCAAATTAATTTCTCTTCTTCACTTTATCGAAATGGTTATGTGTATATGTTTCTTCTGCTAAATCTGTTCTTTCTAAATGAAGAACAAGTAAGAAAAATCTTGGGTTAATTCTATGCAAATGTATTATTTTCTTGAATAAAAACCATATGGTTTCTGTTGAATTCTGTCACTAATTGCACCAGTAATTGCCATTTAAGACAAAATTGTTATTTTTCTTCTTTTATTTCATCTGGTTTTTGCTATTGATTTGCATATTAAGTTTAGTTTTCCTTTCCAGTTTGATCATATTATATATAATTTAATTTCCTGATTTCAGGTCTTAGGAGCTTGGGATTATCTTATATTTGTTTCTCTGATTTTATCATGCTGGATTTGATTGATCTGACAAAGAAATAAATGCTTATGATTAAGTAAGGCTTTGAGAATTTATATGCTATGGCGTGGTTTAGAGCTGGTTATAGAGCAGCAAGAATTGCCATCAGGAAAACTCTTTCTCAGACTGCATCATATGCATCAAGAATACAATGCCTTCCTTGGCGGAATCGGAGTTTTCATAGTACAATCTTCCGAGCTGCTGCCCCTAACTCTCAGCACCTTGCTGGATTATCTGATAACTTCTTAGATGCAACAAGTAGTGTTTACTTGGAAGAGTTGCAAAAAGCCTGGGAAGTGGATCCCAATAATGTAGATGAGTCTTGGGACAATTTCTTCAGGAATTTTGTCGGTCAGAATCAGAAAGTACCATCTGCAGGTGTTTCAGGACAGACAATCCAAGAGAGTATGAGTTTGTTGTTGCTGGTTAGAGCTTATCAAGTTAATGGTCATATGAAAGCAAAATTAGACCCATTGGACTTAGAAGAAAGAGAAATTCCTGATGAATTAGACCCATCTTTTCATGGCTTTACAGAAGCTGATCTTGATAGAGAATTCTTTTTAGGGGTATGGAAAATGTCTGGGTTCTTATCAGATAATCGCCCAGTAATGACTCTACGATCTATATTAACAAGACTTGAACAAGCATATTGTGGACATGTTGGATATGAGTATATGCATATAGATGATAGTGCTAAATGTAATTGGTTAAGACACAAGATTGAGACACCAGTACCAATGACATACAATCAAGATAGACTTGAGTTATTGCTTGATAGGCTAACATGGAGTACACAATTTGAGAACTTTTTGGCTACTAAAATGAAAGCAGCAAAGAGGTTTGGGCTAGAAGGTGGGGAGACTCTGATACCTGGAATGAAGGAGATGTTTGATAGAGCATCTGATCTTGGTGTAGAGAACATAGTTGTTGGAATGCCTCACAGAGGAAGATTGAATGTACTAGGTAATGTTTTTCGTAAACCACTTGCACAGATATTTAGTGAATTTGACAAGAATGCAAAGGTAGGCGATGAGATTGGAGTTTACAGTGGTACTGGTGATGTTAAATATCACTTGGGAACTTCTTATGATAGACCTACTAGAGCTGGGAAGAGAATTCATTTGTCACTTGTTGCAAATCCCAGTCATTTGGAAGCTGTTGATCCACTTGTTCTTGGAAAAACTAGAGCAAAGCAATATTACACAAATGATCTCGACCGGACTAAAAATATGGCTGTTTTGATCCATGGAGATGGTAGCTTTGCTGGGCAAGGTGTAGTTTATGAAACCTTGCATCTTAGCGCACTTCCTAATTATACCACCGGTGGAACTATACACATTGTAGTGAATAACCAAGTAGCTTTCACTACGGATCCAAGGTCAGGGAGATCTTCACAATATTGCACTGATGCTGCTAAGGCATTGAATGCCCCTATTTTTCATGTAAATGGAGATGATATGGAGGCAGTAGCTCATGTGTGTGAGCTTGCAGCAGAATGGCGCCAGAGTTTCCATTCTGACGTTGTGGTTGATATAATTTGCTATCGTAGATTTGGGCATAATGAGGTTGATGAGCCTTTGTTCACGCAGCCAAAAATGTATAAGGTTAGCTATTTTCTAATAGTGGTTATTTTTCTTAGATTTGATCATTTGATGAATATGCACTTACAGTCTTAACCTAGTAGTAGAGATCTTTCGACTTAGTCAGGTCCGAGTCCCCATCCCCCAAATACTCATTACAATAGAATTTTAGTGTTGTATTTTTTAAATTGGAGTGTTTGGCAACAGGTTATTCAGAATCATCCATCTTGCCTTGAAATATATCAAAATAAACTTTTAGAATCAGGGAAGATCACACAAGAAGACATTGATAGGATACACAAAAAGGTTAATGCAATACTTAATGAAGAATACTCAAACAGCAAAGATTATGTTTCTAAAAGAAGTGACTGGCTTTCATCTCATTGGGCTGGTTTCAAGTCTCCTGAACAGCTTTCACGCATCCGAAACACTGGGTATGGTACAATTTTACCAAGTATTTTTTTCTGTTCTTGCGTTTTGACTAATTGAGTTTTTGATTAATATGGTATGCAATATCCTGATGTTACACAGGGTAAAACCAGATATTTTGAAGGAAGTTGGTAAAGCAATAACATTCCTTCCAGATGATCTAAAGCCTCACAAGCAAGTGAAAAAGATATATAGTGATAGGGCTCAAATGATTGAGACAGGAGAGGGCATTGATTGGGCACTTGCTGAAGCACTAGCTTTTGGAACATTGCTACTTGAGGGTAACCATGTAAGACTGAGTGGGCAGGACGTTGAAAGGGGTACGTTCAGTCATCGACATGCTATGGTTCATGATCAGGAGTCAGGGAAGAAGTATTGCCCTCTTGACCATGTAATGGTAGACCAGGATGAGGAAATGTTTACTGTAAGCAACAGGTAATGTTTGGTAATTAACTTCTTCTATCAGGCACTTTGCATTTGTTTATGGCCCTTGCACTTGCTTCTGTTTTATTATTATTCTGTATGGTGAATATTTGTATGTCAGCCTACTCTTGTTTAAATGTTCTCTCATTTGGTGAATGATTAAGGTTAGGTATGGCTTAAAGTAATGTGCATGATGTTAAAAGTACACTTGTAAAAGTACTTGTATGTCTATTTATATTAGTTAAACGAATTGCAATAGAAGTGAAGTAAGCATTTCTACAAACACTGCCTCTTAATCCTTTTCTCTCAGCTCTATTATCAAATATCAAATTACTTAGTTGTATTGTTTAGCCTATTTTCAAGAGGTAGCAGTGTATGTGTAGAAAATTAATCATATAATTTTGGTTTTCTCCTTTGTAAATTCAACACAATCTGACAGAGTTTAGGTTCTAAATCTACCACTGTAACATATATTGGAGTTTGGCTGTTAGAATTTCAGATACTGAACACTCAATCCAGCTAAGTCATAACCTAATGGACAGATTGCTGTGTGTATATAAATTTAAAAATGTAAATTTCTTATTTTCAAGAAAAATGTGACTTCCTACTTCCTAGTCTACTGCCAATCTGAGTTGCACTTGCCAAAAAAATATACTGCATTTGCTGTTTGCCCTGCTGTGATCTCTAACAAATCAAAATGTCCAATAAGGTTAACAAGATCATCCTTTTTTTTTCAACTGCAATTATGGTGTTATAGTATAAATATATTCTTAATGACAATTTGAAAGTTCGAGGTTCCTCAAGTTTTAACCTGAAAATTCTATTTTTATTTTTTATTTTTTACTTTTCTGATTAAAGTATTCTCGTATGTGACAGAATATCTTAAGATAGCAAATAACAAAACTGCAGCCTCAGGATCTTCAAGAAACATTTGTTGTTTGATAGAACCTATTAACTTCTAAATATAGCAGAATTGGCATTTCTTAAATGCTTTAAGTATTTTGCAGTAGCAACAACTTTCTCTCATTTGTAAACAGCAACGTTTCTTTTACTTTTGAAGTTTCTATCTAATTGGTATTCATGTTTTATGATGGTTTCTAAATGTGAGCAATGCATGTTGTTGAATGCAGCTCCCTTTCAGAGTTCGGTGTACTTGGATTTGAATTGGGTTATTCAATGGAAAATCCAAATGCTTTGGTTATGTGGGAAGCTCAATTTGGTGACTTTTCTAATGGGGCTCAAGTGATGTTTGATCAGTTTTTGAGTGGTGGAGAATCAAAGTGGCTACGTCAAAGTGGGCTTGTCGTGCTGCTTCCTCATGGTTATGATGGCCAAGGCCCTGAACATTCGAGTGCACGATTGGAGCGTTTCCTTCAGGTACCTAACACTAACCTTATGGTTGGCATTGGATTTGAGAATATAATGTAATTCTTTGGTTATGTAATGGCAGATGAATGATAGCAACCCCTATGTGGTGCCTGAGATGGATTCATTAGTGAGAAAGCAAATCCAGGAATGCAATTGGCAGGTTGTGAATGTTACAACTCCTGCTAATTACTTTCATGTATTGAGGCGTCAGGTGAGGATTTGAATTTGTGTTTTTCATTGAAAAATGCCAAATTTAAATACTAGGTAATCTCAAAAACAGGTACACAGGGAGTTCCGTAAGCCTCTAGTAGTTATGTCACCGAAGAATCTGCTTCGCCATAAGTCCTGCAAATCAAATCTATCTGAATTCGATGATGTTGAAGGTCACCCAGGATTTGACAAGCAAGGAACCAGATTCAAGCGACTTATAAAGGACAAAAACGATCACTCTGATCTTGAAAAGGGCATTAAGCGACTGGTTCTTTGCTCTGGAAAGGTCTTATTATCAGGAGTGTTATGTTTCCACTGATGCTTAACGAGAACACTAAGTTGTGTTGTATGATTTGCAGGTTTATTATGACTTAGACGAAGAGCGAAACAGGATTGATGCCAAAGATATTGCGATCTGCAGGGTGGAACAACTCTTTCCCTTCCCATATGACCTCATCCAACGAGAACTGAATCGTTATCCAAGTATGTGTAAATATGCAAATAGAGGTCATAAAACTTTGTTTTAAAATTTGTTGTATCCCATATCCATGTCAATGTCTTTCAGATGCGGAGATAGTATGGTGCCAGGAAGAGCCAATGAACATGGGAGCTTACAGTTACATTGCGCCGTGTCTTTACACGACCATGAAAGCCATGGGAAGAGGATCTTATGATGATATCAAATACGTTGGCAGAGCTTCATCCGCTTCTACTGCCACTGGCTTTTATTCAAACCACAAAAACGAACAGACTCAGCTTGTTCAGTTAGCCATGCAGCCTCAACCAATCAATTAGACTGCAAAAGTTATTAGGAGAGACTGGAGGAAGACTGACTTATCTACAATTAAAGGGTTGGGGGTGCATTTCCACCTTTGTTATGAATTGTCTTTTTATTTTGATGATCAAAATTTAAAGGAGCTAGATTATTTGATGTAGCCTCCCCCACACCCCTGCCTAGAGATGGAAGCATAGTTATGAAATCCCACTCCGCTTGCTTGGGCGGATCAACTTGGAGAACCGGTGCACCGAATTTAAAATTGAGCCAATTTTTCTTTTGAATCATTTAAAGAAGATAATTAGATTGAATTGGTTAATTTGTAATTGAGCCAATTGATCCACAATACTCGATTGATTTGACCTTATTCTTTAATATTTTTAATTATATTAAAATTATTTTAGATTATAATAATTATTTAATTAGTATATATATTAATATTGTATGACCCATTAGTTTAACTATTGACCAACCAATTAAACTAATGAGCGGTAAAATGGGCGTGATTAATAACACCGGATGGAAGCAAAGTGGGTGTTTTTGGATATATTGACCTGTTTAATATGAATTTAGGTAGTTATAAAAGGATCCGATATAGGTAAAAATGGTAAAATTATGTACAAGTCCTTAGATATTTGCTATCAATTACCCACTATACTATATGAGTTTGGCTGTGAGTAGTCATAAATACTATCTATTACTACAAAATATATACTTATGTAACAAGTCCTTAGATTTTGCTATCAATTACCCACTATACTATCATGAGTTTGGCTGTGAAGTAGTCATAAATACTATCTAATTAACTACAAAATATATATATATATATATATATATATATAAAAAAGTTTTTCATATATAAACAAGTTCGGGTTCCAATAGTTGTTTAAACTTTACAAGTATAATTTGCATATATCTGCTCCCCTTCTATGCTATCCACAATCCATCCATGACTTTCATAAAGGAAGAAGAAATGAAATAGACTGTAAATAAACTTGAATTTTATTTATTTTGTCTATAGTTTTTAAAAGAGAATCTGAACTATTTATTATTTTCATGGTTCTTAAATTCGGCTGCATTGATTGATTCAATCAAATTACTTCATAATCAATGAGGTTTTGAATTACAAGAGCAAGATTATTTAAGAAAGCTATTAATGTGGACATGCTTTGCTCATTTTGTGCCGATATAGAGGATTTAACCACACTTTAATCCAGTGTAATAAGGCTATGGAAGTTTGGAGGCTATGTGGTTTTCATTTGACTAACAATACCAATACCTGTTCTACGGAAATCAGTACAGGAAATGCATGAACAGGAAATGCATGATCAAGAAATACCAATACCAATACCAATAGAACCAGGTTGTATCTATTCTGATTCACAGCAGGTGGTTTCTTTTATATCATCTTCAATTCAAGATTTCTCTCCCTATGGTTTGGTGATTAATGATTGTAAAATTGTTTTAAGTTCTTGTGTTAATATCTCTTTTCAATGGATTTGGATACAAATTAATCTTGAAGCTCATCAATTAGGTAGAGATTCATGTAATCATGCTAGTCTTCAAGTTTGGGATTCTATCCCAGTTTGTTTGTATTCTCTTTATTTGGGTTAATAATGTTAGTATAATGTTAGTATACTATTGTAATTAATTGACTATACTATTGTAAGATAGCTGTAAATAACCATCAATTAGGGAACTAATTAAGGCTGTAAATGTCAACCATAAACTAATTTAAAGGCTGTAAATGCAACCCATAATTTAGAACAATGGCATCAGTAGGAGACATATTAGGCATCAATTAGGGAGCCAATTAAAGGCTGTAATTGCCAAGCCAATAATAGGAGACAATGGGCATCAGATTAGGGCCTGTAATTTAGCGAATTTTATTCCCAGATTATGTGGATACTTCAGTCTATTTAAACCCAATCAGCTTGTGCGGAATGAGAAGGCAAATTCTCCTATCAAAATTCCATTGAAATACAGCAAGTTTTGTCATGGTATGCAGACGAGCCTTAAATTAGGGCAATTTTAGAGCTGTTTCTTTTATGAGTTTCAACTATTGTTTTTTTGAAGAACAAAGTGCAGATTCTGCTTCGTTTTTAATTCTGCAGTTTCTGTTTCTGGCTTTTTTTGTTTATTCATATCTTCTGCATGAACTCTTCGATCATAGAAATTCTGTAATTTCTATTTGGAGGTTCTCCTTCAGGTTCTCTTCATTTGGAAGAGATTCTGGTAGACATTTTTCTGCAACTTTCTGGCTGTAGGATTTTCATCTTGGTGGGTCTGTTGCTTCTTCTAGTAGACCTGCTCCTGGTTGTGTTATTCCTAATTTTGCATTTCTGGTTTCCTTGTGCTATTTGAGATGGCCACATCAAACACAGTTGAGAGTTTTCATGTTCGCTTCACCGGAAAAAATTATTCTTCATGGGAATTTCAATTCCAGCTCTTTGTTACAGGAAAAGAACTGTTGGGCCATATAGATTGGGCCATATAGATGGAAGTGATCCAGCTCTTAAAGATGCTAAGGAGTTGCTTCATTGGAAAGTTAGAGATGCAAGAGTAATGACATGGATTCTGGGGTCAGTTGACCCTCTTATTGCTTCTAATTTGAGGTCTTCTAAAACTGCAAAGGCCATGTGGGATTACTTGAAAAAGGTTTATAATCAAGACAATGCTGCAAGACATTTTCAATTGGAGAGCGATATTGCTAATTATTCCCAAGGAAATCTCTCCATTGAGGAATATTATTCTGGTTTTCAGAATTTATGGGCTGAGTTTACTGACACTATTTATGCTAAAGTACCTGCAGAATCTCTCTCTATACTTCAAGAAATTCATGAGCAAAGCAAAAGAGATCAATTCTTAATGAAGTTGAGGTCTGAATTCGAGACACTTCGCTCAAATTTAATGAGTCATGTTCCTTCACCTTCTTTAGATATTTGTTTTGGCGAATTACTTCGCGAAGAACAACATTTTCTCACTCAGAACTCTCTCCAACAAGAAAATACTGTCTCACAAGAAAATAACTGTCAAAGGTTGCCTTTTTGCTGCCCAAGAAGAGGAAAGGGTCCCGGGGAACATGAGTAGAATCAATGTTATAACTGCAAAAAATTATGGCCATATTGCTGCCAATTGTGGAAAGAAGTTTTGTAATTATTGCAAATTGTCAGGACATGTCATAAAGGAGTGTCCGACACGGCCTCAAAATCGAAAATCGAATGCTGCCCCAATTGCACCAAATAATCTCACTCATTTTGTTGCTTCAACGGTTTCTACAACTCCCTCTTCAGCTGCTGAACCTGTGATTCTTACTCCAGAAATGGTACAACAAATGATCATTTCAGCCTTCTCCGCCTTGGGACTACAAGGTAATGATACCCCTTCCTCCTCTCAACTTTGGCTTGTTGATTCTGCTGCCTCAAATCATATGACAAACACATCTAGCATGCTTACCAATGTTTGCAAATATCACGGTTCAACTGAAATTCACCAATGTTCGCAAATATCATGGTTCAACTGAAATTCAAATTGCAAATGGTAGTACAATACCTATTACTGAGATTGGAGATCTTAGACCATGTTTCAACAATGTTTTTATATCTCCAAAGCTCTCAACTAAGCTTCTTTTGGTTGGTCAGTTATGCATTTCTCTCGTAATGCTTATCTTGTGCAGGATCAGGCATCGGGGACAATAATCGCGAAGGGGCCTAAAGTTGGGAGACTCTTTCCATTACTATTTTCCGGTCCTCGTATCTCTTCATTTTGTACTACAGTTATTAGCAAAAGTGAACTATGGCATAGACGTTTAGGTAGACTTTAAGGTCAATCCTAATCCTGTTCATTTTGTCCTCTATTTATCAATTCTGGTTTTTGGGAATAAAAGAAATTCCTTGCTAAGGTTCCTTTTGATTGGTTCCACAATGTAAGAACTCGGTAAAAGCAAACTCTCCTTTTCCTTCTAATGGTAGTTCGTGCTGTCCAATGTTTTGATAATAATTCATAGTGATGTCTTTTGGGCATTACGCCCAGTTATTTTCTCATGCTCAATACAAGTATTTTGTGCACATTATTGATGATTAAGTAGATATACATGGGTATACTTTCTTCATTCTAAATCTGATGTAATATTCCTGTTTTTAAGAACCTTTTTAGCCTTGTAAGACTCAGTTTTCTACTTTGGTATTAAAGTATTACGATCTGATTCTGGAGGAGAATATAAATGGTCTGCATGAATTTCAGAATTTTCTTCATGAGGCAAAGGGATGTCTCACAACGTTCATGGTCTTATACCACACAACAAAATGGAGTTGCTGAGCGTAAAAATCGTCATCATTTTGGATGTAACCCGAACTTTGTTAATTGGATCTTCGTTCGCATCTAAGTTTTGGGCTTGAAGCTATCCTAACTGCAACTTATCTTAATTAATAGAAAATGCCTTCTAAGGTATTAGTCTTGACTCCCCATAATTTCTTCGTCTATATCATCATTATCCTAATTATCTAGATTTACACACATTTGGTTTGTGTTTGTTTTGTATCATCTACCTTCTCATGACCGTCATAAACTTTCCGCTCAATCTGTTAAATGTGCATTTATGGTTATATTCTTCTCAAAAGGGTTTTGTTTGCTATGATTCCACTTCTAACAAATTTCGTGTTTCTCGAAATGTTATTTTCTTTCAGCATCAATATTTCTTTCCCAATCTTGCCAAGTCTTCTTCTACTTCTCCCATTCTTCCAATTTTTGAGGATTTACCAATTGTTCCTATCTTCCAATTTTTGAGGATTTACCAATTGTTCCTAATCGGTTTAAGCCTGGATTTGTGTATGAAAGACGTCAACCAACGGTGCCTCTTCCCGAGATTGATCCCTCATCTATGTCTGATTCTCCTGAATCTACTCTGCATCGATCTACCAGAGTATCCCGACCGCCAAGACGGTATGGTTTTTCTGATAATCCTACTGGATATTCTGCCACTTTATCTGATATTTTTATTCCATCTTGTTACTCACAAGCCTCCCAGAATGAACGTTGGCAAAAAGCCATGCAGGATGAACTTCAAGCTCTTCACGAAAATCATACATGGGACATTCTTCCTTGCCCTCCAAATGTTAAGCCCATTGGATGTAAATGGGTTTATTCAGTCAAGCGTCGTTCTGATGGAACTTTGGATCGATATAAAGCTCGATTGGTTGCTCTTGGCAATAAGCAAAAGTACAGAGTGGACTATGAGGAGACCTTTGCTCCAGTTGCAAAGATGACTACTGTCCGTACTATTATTGCAGTTGCTACTTCTTAGGATTGGCCTCTTCATCAAATGGATGTCAAAAATGCTTTTTTTCATGGTGATCTTAAAGAAGATATTTATATGACACTTCCACTGGGTTTAACTACCTCATCTTCAACACATGTGTGTAAGTTAAAAAAGTCTCTGTATGGACTCAAACAAGCTCCACGTGCCTGGTTTGACAAGTTTCGGTCTACCTTACTTCAGTTTTCATTTGTGCAAAGCAAATATGACTCCTCTTTGTTTCTTCACAATTCACAAGAGTTCTGCTGGTTTTTGTTCTACTCCTTGTTTATGTAGATGACACTTGATTATCAACTGGCATAACACATCAACGATCCCTCATCTTCCACAATCTCTTAAACTTCTTTAATATGAAGGATCTTGGTCCACTTACATATTTCTTAGGGCTGGAGTTCCAACTATGATTGGTTCTGGGATATTTTTTGCATTCAACACAAATAATACTACAGATTTGATTACTTTAGCAGGCCTTCAAGATTCATCCCCAGCTTGATATCCTTTGGAATTAAACGTCAGTAATCATAGGTCAAAACCGGAGATCTCCTTTCCTGATCCATCTTTTATCGCAATTAGTTTGGCAGTTTGAAATTATCTAACTATTACACGGCCGATATTTCTTTTGCAAGTTCAGCAAGTCAGTCAATTCATGAGGTACTCCGGTCACTTACATCTGTTAGCAGTTCGTCGAATCCACTTCGCTATCTCTTGCACATCTTTTCCGGGGTTTATTCTTTCCTACTGCTCTCACCCATTACGCCTTGTTGCTTACAGGTGATGCTGATTGGGCCCGTTGTCCAGACACTCGACGCTCTATAACTGGGTTGGTTGTATGTTTCTTGGCGATTCTTTGATATCTTGGAAAAGTAAGAAACAAGACCGTGTTTCAAAATCTTCTACTGAGTCTGAATATCGGGCTATGTCCGCTGCTTGTTCCGAGATTGTTTGGTTACGTGGGTTACTTGCTGAAATTGGCTTTCCTCAGCCTCATTCTCCTCTACATGCTGACAACACTAGTGCCATCCAAATTGCTACCAATCCAGTTTTTCATGAACGTACCAAACATATCGAAGTCGACTGTCATTCTATTCGAGAGGCAGTAGATATCGGTGTCATTTCTCTTCCACATTTCTCCACTGCTCTTCAAATTGCTGATGTATTCACAAAATCTATGACACGACAGCGTCATCAATTTCTCATTGGCAAATTGATGCTTCTTAATCGCCCAGCATCAATTTGAGGGGGGATGTTAGTATAATGTTAGTATACTATTGTAATTAATTGACTATACTATTGTAAGATAGCTGTAAATAACCATCTAGCCTGTAAATAACCATCAATTAGGGACTAATTAAGGCTGTAAATGTCAACCATAATTAGGAGACAATGGGCATCAAGTAGGAGACATTATTAGGCATCAATTAGGGAGCCAATTATAGGCTGTACATTGCCAGCCATAATTTAGGAGACAATGGGCATCGTTAGGGCTGTAATTTAGGACATTTTATTCCCAAAGATTTGTGGATACTTCAGTCTTTATAATTTAGGAATTTATTCCCAAATTTGTGGATACTTCAGTCTATTTAAACCCAATCAGTTTGTGGGAATAGACAGGCAAATTTCTATCAAAATTCCATTGAAATACAGCAAGTTTTGTCAAATAATATCTCTTTTTTTTCAAAAAAAAAAAAAAAAGATTTCTTATTCATATTTATTGAAAATAATTAAATCAGTAGTTAATCAAGTGAATCGGTTAGATTTAACTATCAACACCTAAATTTGGTTAAGGGTACAATAGTAGAGGTTGGAAGTGGGAAGCATAAACCCACCTCCTTAACTCAAATTAAAAAAAAAAAAAAGTTGTCTGTAAAGTTTTATGAATTCTTTTTAGAATTTGCTTCCCCTAATTTGATAAAAGTTTTCTTTGATTCTCTAACTTCAAATTCTAACTCCACTAAAGAATGCTAGCAAGTCACATGTATATGCTTGCTACCAAAGTGATAATATCCAAGCTCCACGAATTTAATTCGGCCCTCTTAGGGAAACATGTGTGGAGGCTCTTAGTCAGACCAGATTCGATGGTTGCAAGGGTGTTCAAAGGTTGATATTTTTCGTACTGTTCAATTCTATAGGCTGATTTGGGGTCTATTCCTAATTTTATATGGAGCAGTCTTCGCGCAGCTTTTACTCTTGTGAAGTCCGATGTTGCAAAACGAGCGGGGAATGGAGAATCCATCTCGATATGGGATGATACATGGCTTCTTGACCTTGAGAATCCAAGGGGGTTAACTCTGATGCCTGCAAATTGTTATGCTCATTTTGTGTGTTCTCTTATCTCACCTAATAGTCCGTCATGGAGAACAGATATCATAAATAAGTTATTGCTGGAGAAGGGCAGAAGATGTATCCTCATTATCCCTCTTAGCCTCCATAGGAGTTAGTATGATTGGGTATGGAGGGCTAATAAGAGTGGCTCTTATATTGTAAAAAGTGCCTATAAGAAGCTAACTTCGACTTGTTGAGTTGCTACTATAGCCAAACACTCCAGCTCATTATATTTTGTATTTTTATATTATAGCTTCTAGAATATGCTGATGTAATCATGTTTTGCTTTAGCTTTGGGCCCGAGTTAAATTTTATATCATGTCCCTAAAGTCCCAAATAGGTGAAACTCCTAGTATATGTATTTTCACACACTACAGATTTCTTAAGAAATGAAACCCAAGTATTCTTCTCTTCATCGTCTCCATTACTAGTAAAAACACTAACAATTGGTATCAGAACTCTTTAATTCTTAAAGGGGCTTGAGATTACTTTGTTACTTGAGAGAGAAAAAGAGAGAAAGAGAAAGATAAAGAAAAAGAAATAGAGAAGTGAGATTTGTCTTCCCACATCTCAATTCCAGCACCACCCATCTTCAAAGGCCAAAATTATGATTTTTGGGTAATCAAAATGAAAGCTTTCTTAAAAGCTAATGATTTGTGGGAGGTAGTGGAAGAAGATTACGAGCCGCTACCACAAAGGTCAAATCCTACTCTTGCTCAAATCAAGTAACAAATGGAGGAGGCTCTAAATTCATTTAAAGCCCTTTCTTTCATTCACTCACCTGTTTATGAAAATATTTTTTCGAGAATTATGGGTGCAGAGACAGCCAAGGAAGCATGAGAATTATTGAAGGAGGAGTTGCAAGGTTCTTAAAGAGTAAGACAAGTGAAGTTGCAGACCTTAAGAAGAGAATTTGAATCATTGAAGATGAAGGATAATAAAGAGAATTTGAATCATTGAAGATGAAGGATAATAAAGGTATCAAACATTCCAGCTCAAGAATTATTCAAGTTGTAAGTCAATTGAAGATTTATGGAGAAGATATTACAAACCAGAGAGTAGTGGAGAAAATTCTTATCTCCTTACTGGAGCAATATGAGCCAAAAGTTACAGCCATTGAAGAAGCTCATGACCTTTCAAAATACACGATAACAGAGATTATTGGAGCCTTGCAAGCCAAGAGCAAAGGTTCTCCATGAGAAGTGAAGCACTTACAGAAGCAGCGCTTTAGGGCAATAATAATCCGAAGTAAGCTAATTTCAGATACAACAAGAAGCAATATTTCAACAAGAAAGGAGATGAAGCTGGTTCGTCAAAATTTAAAGAAGTTGAGCAAAATGGCAAGCTTCCTCCTTGTCGTGTGTGCAAAAGAACCATTTAGAGAAAGATTGTAGATACAAAGGCAAGCATTAATGCAGATTTTGTAATTATTTCGGGCACATAGGTTGTGCAGGAGGAAGCAAAATCAGCAACAAAATCAAACTCAAAATGCAAACCGTGTTGAAGAAAGGGGAAGGAAGATAATGTATTCTTTTCAAGTCATGTCTCTGAAGTCTTACATCAGAAACCATGACTAATTGACAGCGGTTGCTCAAATCACATGATTAAACATACATCAAATTTCAGTAAGCTTGATTCCACATACAAAGGCACTGTAAAAGTAGCAAATGCAGAAGAGATACTCGTCACCGGCAAAGGAATGGTAAAAATTCATACTAATCAAGGTATGAAATTTATCAAATATGTCTTACTAGTTCCTGATCTCAGTCAAAATCTATTGAGTGTTGGGCAAATGTTTGAACATGGTTATGTTTTGCATTTTGAAAATATGTTTTACACTGTTTATGAATTGAATGTAGCAAGCTAATTGAAGTGGCTATGAGAAGCAGAAATTTTCCTTTGGATTTAAAGAATTCTTCTTTAAATGCCTATAATGTTGTTGCACACAATTTATGCAATTATTATTTGAATGCTCTCCAATTTATGCAATCTAAGTGCATGGTGTGAGATATGCCCACAATTTCCTTAAAATCTGATGTGTGTGAAGCTTGTCAAGCCGGGAAATTGCATAGACAACCCTTTCCAAGAGCATAAGCATGAAGAGCTTCTCATAAACTTGAGCTAGTGCATACTGATGTTTGTGGTCTTGTGAGAACTACATCTCTTGGTGATAATAAATATTTTAATCTCTTTATTGATGATTTTACTAGAATGACATGGGTGTATTTTTTCAAACACAAATCAGAAGTTTTTAATGTGTTTAAGAGATTTAAAACTTTTGTTAAGAAGCAAAGGAAGTTTTTAATGTGTTTAAGAGATTTAAAACTTTTGTTAAGAAGCAAAGTGGCTGCAGCATCAAGACAATCAGATCAAATAGAGGAACTGAATATTTATCAATAGAGTTTGATAAATTTTGTGAAGATGAAGGCATTGAGCATCAACTTTCTGTTGCTTGTCCTTCTCAACAAAATGGTGTCTTCGAAAGGAAGAATAGAAAAGCATGGAGATGGCTAGAAGCATGTTAGCAAATAAGAAATTGCCTAAAACATTCTGGGCTGAAGTCGTTTCTACAGTAGTATACTTGCTTAATAGATTGCCTACAAGAGCATTAAAATTCTCTACTCCCATTGAACCTTAGAGCAAACATAAGCCCACAGTTAAGCACTTAAAAGTGTTTAGTT